GATGTCTAGGTTGTTTGCATTACCTAGCTATTGTGAACAGAGTGGCAATGAACATGGCTGAGCAAATGGAGTAGGATGTTGAGTCCTTTGGACATAAGCCAAGGAGTGGGGATAGCTTGGTCATATGTAGTAGGTTTAGTTTTAACTTTTTGAGAGGTCTCCATACTGATTTCCAGATGGGCTGCAGCAGTTTGCAGTTACAGCAGTGAGTTAAGATTTCCCTTTCCCCACATCCTTGCTAGCAGGTTTTTGTCACTTGTTTTGTTGATCTTAGCCATTCTCACTCGGTATGGCAAAATCTCAAGGTGTTTTGATTTGCATTACCCCAATGATGATGATCATGTTTTGAGATAGTTTTAGTCATTTTTATTTCTTTTAAAGATAACTCTGTTCAGATCCTTAGTTCAGTTTTGAATGGTTCAATTGTTTTCTTGACTATGGTGGATGATCTTTTGATATGTGCCTGTTTTGCAAGGATTTTATTGGGGATTTTTGAATCTATGTTCATCAAAGATATTGATCTGTAGTGTTTACTTTTTTTTATATCTGTACCTTGTTTTGGTATTTGATTAATACTGATTCTATGGAAGGTGTTTGAAAATGTTCCTTCTCTTTCTATATTTTTGAATACTTTATGAAAGTTTGGTTATAGATCTTCTGGAAGTCTATTAGAAATTCTGGAATCCACACGGGCCGGGGTGTTTTTAGACAGAAGACTTTTTAATTACCATTTCAATTTCCTTATTTGTTATTTGTTTAGGTTGTTGATGTCTTCTTGGTTTGTTTAATTTTTGTGGTTTGGATGACTCTAGAAGTTCATCTGTTTCTTTTAGATTTTCCAACTTGACAGAGTACAGGCTACTAAACTATTCCCTTAGAATTTCTTTGGTGACTGTTGTAACGTTTCCTGGTTCATTTCTGGTTCTATTAATTTGGGTAATTCTTTTTGTTGTTGTTTTTGCTTTGTTTTGGTTTTGGTTAGTTGGGCCAAGAGACTGTTGATCTTGTTTATCTTCTTAAAGAATCAGCTCAGATTCATTGTTTCTTTGTTTCTATTTTATTTTGGCTCTGGGTTTTATTATTTCTTTCAGTCTACTGGATTTGGATTCTTTTTCCCAAAATCTTGAGTTGCATCATTAATTCATTTAATTTGTTTATTTATTAATTGTTTATTATTGTTAATTTGTGCTCGCTCTCTTTTTTAGTGTAGGAGCTTAGGTGGTTTCACTTGTAGTGCTGCTTTTAATGTGTTGTATTTCCATTTTCTTTTTGTTCCAGGAATTAAAATTTTTTTCGTGGTTTCTTTTTTGACCTATTCATCATTCAGTAATGAGTTGTTTCATTTCTGCAGGATTGTGTATTTGCTGAAGATGTGTTTGCTGTTGCTTTTAAGTTTTGTTGCATTATGGTCAGGTAACGATACTATGCTTATTCCTCTCTTCAGTGTGAAGTATTGCTTCCAGGATTCTCTTTAGGGTTGGCTTGGTGGACAGGAATTGTGATGGCCTGTTTGTATCATGGAAAGTTTTTCTTTCTCCTTAAAGGTAGTTTTCCTGGATATAGTAGTCGTTTAGTATTTCTCCAGACTCCATTGAGAAGTCAGCTGTTATCTTGAGGGTTCTCCTTTATATGTGATAGGAGGTTTGTCTCTAGCAGCTTTCAGTACTCTTGCCTTGTTCCATGTATTTAGTAATGGTTCAACTATGACATGCCATGGGCAGTTTCTTTTCTGATCTTGTCCGTTTTGTGTTCTATATGCTTCTTTTATCTATATACATATGTTTTTCCTTAGTTTGGGGGAAGTTTTCTTCCACAATCTTGCTGAAGATCTATGTCATTGACCTGGTTCTGCTCTCTTCTCGGCCTGTAATTTGAAGATTTGATGTTTACATGGTGTCTCACATTTTGGGCCTGTTCCTTTCACCTATTAACTTTTTTATAGTTTCGTATATGTGATCTAATTTTTCTGATTTAAGTCCCGATATTATATTTTCTACTTGATCCTTTCTACTTGTGAGACTCCCCCTGAGTTTTTCTTAACTATGTTAAGTTTTTCAGTTCATTTCATCAACTTGAGTTCTCTTTTATATTTCTCTTTATTAAATTTAGTTTTCAAAACAGGATGGGAGGAGAGTACATAGAAAGAAGCAAAAGTCCTGTGGTACTTGAGTAATTATGGATCTTGATTGTGGGGGTGCTTATATGAATCTAGACATGAGATGAAATGCATAGAAACACATTCATAATACTCACACATGCCTGAATTCAGGTTCCATATGTTGAAAACTGTAGCACGAATCTTAAAAGGTCTTATTAATAAAAACAAACCTGGAGCCAGGTACTGGGGTCAACGGTGGAAGATCAGAGAAGCAGAACAAGCCACAGCCGCCTCACCTTGCCAATTCCTCAGCTGATCCTGTTTCCTCAGACTGGAAGTCTTTGAGTCCTCATCCAAATGGATCTCAGCTGAACTGCTGCTAAAAGCCTAAAAGTTTAACCAGGTCTATCTAGTTCCTGGTTTTCATGCCTTATATACCTTTCTGCTTTCTGCCATCACTTCCTGGGATTAAAGGCATGAGTCACCATGCCTGGCTATTTTCAGTGTGGCTTTGAACTCACAGAGATCCGGATGGATCTCTGCCTTCGCAATGCTAGGATTAAAGGTGTGTGTGCCATCATTTTCTGGCCTCTATATCTAGTGGCTGTTCTGTTCTCTGACCCCAGATAAGTTTATTAGGGTGCACAATATTTTGGAGAACACAATATCACCACAGAAAACAGAATGAGTTCTGTATTTTCTTTGGTAGTAACACACCAATGTTAACTACCTGCTTTTAATACAGAACTGGAGGTATATTAGGTATCATAAGAATTGCTGTTTGAAGGGTAGGTAGAACTTGGTCCCTGTTGACTCTCTTCATATGATGATAAAACGGTTTTAAATAAAAGTTTTCAATGAATAATTCCCATTTATCTGGATGGGATACGTCTAGTTGTGCTGAAGGTGAAACAATGTGGAAAGCCATTTGCCACACCTCACCCCCACTATATCACAAGGCTAGGAAACCCACACAGAACAAAAGAGCTACATGGAAGATAAGCTCTCCTACTTTATTAGTATCTTTCTGTACTTTTTAAGTGCGTGTATTTCTTTGCTTTTTGAAAGTGCTTTTTAATGAGAAAATTGACAGTATTCAGTTATATTTAGTGTTAGTGCTTGTTCTTAGCACTGTGCTATCTATCCTTTTTTCTGCCATATACAACAGGACCAATGACATTAACATATTCTGCATACTTAACAGAAATGCTCCCCTAATTGACCAAACCCAAAAACATTTTCAAAAAAGTAAAATAGTACAACTTCAATTTGTTAAATTCTGTTATTACTCACTGTAGTTGTGGCAAAGGTATAATAAGCTGTGAATCAGGAGAATCATATGGTTGTTTTAACTATCACTTTTCTTTCTACTGAAGAAAATGTATTGGAATGCAGATGAGGAAATTCAACCTCATTATATGGAAAAATCCAGAATCAGCTCAAATTTATTTAAATTACTGAAGTTATAATTTACAAGTGTGAATGAATTCAGTAGTACATTTGAAAACATTCATTTTAAGGTACAAAAGAAATAAAATATATGAGTCCTGCCTTATAAGTTGCTGATATAGCTGTGGCATACTGGAAATCTTTCTGACTTCAAGTACCAGGCTTCAGTTTTAATCTCCTCTTTGCTGCTTATCATTCATGTCATTAAACCTTGTGGTACCTGCCTTTCCTCAAATATTGACTATATCATGCACATGCACAAAATTAATAAGTATATCATGAGGGTGATAATATTGAGTTATAAACTAATAAAATGGATGTTAGAAAAATGTGGTCAAATTGTTGCAAGTTTCTAAGAAAGTATTAGGAATGATAAGAGAATCAGATTTAGCTTTAGAAAGTGAAAATATAGTGAGGAAGAGTGAATAGTTAGAAACCTTAAAAATTTAAGCACGGCACCATACCATAGTTCTACATTCTTAAAAGCATATGCCACCAGCTGTTTATATTTTAATGTTATTGTTTAATGTTAGCACAGTTAATTGAAATCTTGATTGGTAAGATTTACATAGCTTAGAAATAGTTAATTCTTATGTTTAACAAGAGGGTATCATGGCAGTAGAACAGGTGCTATCTTTTCAGTGTGTTTAATAGTCCTTGTTCATTGTTAGCATTTGTTTTTAAGTCTGTAATGTAATCTTTTCAAAAGTACTTTAGTAGTCTGTAAATTCACTGAACCTAAGTGCTGCTTTCTGTATTAGAACTGTATGTTCTAAAAGAGATAATGGACAAATGAAAGCATTTGATGTTTGATAGGTTTTGTTTTGTATGATATTAGAACAAAGACTCTTGTGGGCTAAACGGATCTATCAGTGCTATTTTTTTCTCAGTAGTAAATCAATCACAGATACTTGTCACTTTTCAGCTTTTATGATCCTTTTCGCTATATAATTTCAACTTTACATTGTCTGATGAAAAAATAACTTCAAAATATTTATCACCTCTATACAAAACATTATACTCTATAGGAGTATGACCAGAAAGAATAATATGATGTAGACCCTCAAGGATATAATAGGAAAACAAAGTATATATACACAGATAACCATAATGCAAAACAATTTGCTGCTAAGTGCCACGAGCTCTGTAGGATTTCAGATTATAGAAAGCATTTTTAGCAGCTGATCAAGAATGGTTTCGTGGATGCAGGAGCATTTGACTAATTCACATAATTTGTAAATTAATATTAACATGGCAGTGTAGTGTAAGAATCCTAAAATAGCAGAGCTTCCAGTGCCAAAGATTTTTATCTTTGTAAATTGCAAAAATCATTTCAATTCCAGTAAATGTATTCCAGTAAACATTACCACAAATAATAATTTAAGGAAAATATTTGTACTTTTATAATAAATGTTTTATGTATGGTGGGTAATTGATGTTTTTATATTTTTAGGCTATGAATATTGTGGTTCCTTTCATGTTTAAATATGCTGTAGACAGCCTCAACCAGATGTCGGGAAACATGCTGAACCTGAGTGATGCACCAAATACAGTTGCAACCATGGCAACAGCAGTTCTGATTGGCTGTATGTGTGATTCTTTAATCTGTCTACAGGTGTTGACTTTCTTCAAGAAGGTTTCATCATATTTGAGCAGATGACCTTTTCATCACAAATACAACTTAGCATTTCGGATTTTTATTATTTTATGTGAGATTTATTTTGATCTGTTTTTGAAAATTCTTTGTATGATATGCTTTGCAAAACTTCTGTGATACAGTAGCATTTTCTATGTTTGAAAAAATAATATAAAATATGACATTAAATGTATTACCACCATCTTCACTAGGTTTTTTTTATATAAAATATCTCTCTAGAAAGGCCAGTTGTTTTCTTACTGTTAATATTAAATGGAAGTGGCTAATTAATGATATATGAACATTAGTGCTTTGTTAAAATATATTCAGTGACCATGACACACAGATACAATTTGAAAATAATAAAATGTTCTTTCAAATGAACTGGGACCCCATACATTTGAAAGGACACTTTAAGACTTCAGAGACAGAAGCAGGAGCTTGCTAAAAGCACTTGACTCTTCAGGATCTAAGCCTTTTGCATTTGTTATTTGAGAGAATTGAATTAGATATTGTACACTTATCCACAATGAGGCCATCTGGTCTATTCTATATTAAAAGTATTTTAATTGGAAAACTCTTTCAGCATTTGAAATCTAGGGTCAAATAATACTGAAAGGGATTTATGATGATGAAAAAGTTAGTACTCATTAGAGTAGATGAGTTCTACATTTCTTTTAGTGTAAATATTCTGTGTTATATTTATTGGCTGAATTATTCATTGTATAAAGATTTCCTGCAGCCTTGCCACTTACACTGCTATGATTCTAATGTTTGTATGCCCGCCCCCCTACTTTTTTCTTTTGTTGTCTTAGATGGTGTATCAAGAGCCGGAGCTGCCTTTTTCAATGAAGTTCGAAATGCAGTATTTGGCAAAGTAGCTCAAAATTCAATCCGAAGAATAGCCAAAAATGTATTTCTCCATCTTCACAACTTGGATCTGGGTTTCCATTTGAGCAGACAGACAGGAGCTTTATCTAAGGCTATTGACAGAGGGACAAGGGGTATTAGTTTTGTCCTCAGTGCTTTAGTGTTTAATCTTCTCCCTATCGTGTTTGAGATGACGCTTGTCAGTGGTGTTCTGGTAAGTAATACATTTTTTCATAGTAAGCTTTTATCTTGCAATCTTATTAATAGCAAATTAGTAGTTGAAGCTGTTCTGCTCTTGCATACCACAATGTCAGAAGGATCTTCCATTTGTTTCATTATTTTGCCACAAGTGTCAAAGGTCTGTCCAAATTCTGTATCATATTTTTAGACACCTAGATCATTGATTAGTGCTTGTAATGTTTTTTCCTCCAAGAATTTTGTATGTCACACCTTGGATTGATGTGCTCAGACTATTTAGATTTCTGTTTATCAATCCTAGCATGTTAAAACATTGTAATCTTTAAATCAATTTCTCTTTAGGCTTACACTGTTTCAGTGTTAGAATTTGATGCTAGAATTGTGGCAGGTGCAATTTGACTTTCTTTCCTTGTTACCTTGAGTAGATTATCTTAAGATATTTGATTTTTAATCCATTATTGATTTATGCAGTTTATCAGCATCATTTTTATAAATATCCTTTGACTGAAATTTGCTATTATGATGCTATAATGTGACAAGAACAGCAACCACTTCCTTTTTAAAATTTTGTTTAATTATATTGTTTTTAAAACAATGATTTTAAGAAAAGGAATATTTTTATTAATCTGAAGTGCACAGTATCTTAAATAATACTTACAAAGGAAATAATATTCTCAATAAGCTTTCCATTTTGCTGAGCGTCAGACTAAAATTTAGACTATAAGCTGCTATATCCAGTTACAATTTTGATTCAAAATGTAATTAAGCATGGTTCATAATCATCTTTTACTAAACTAATCATTTTTACATTTTTAAAAAATGCTATTTTATTCAATTTTATTTTACATGATAAAGAATGTTGCCAGATTTTTTTTTTTTACATACATGATAAACCTCTCACTTTTCCTATTTATTGGCTAAAGGTGAAAGTCAAAGACAATTCAATCACTTCTCATTTCTTCTCTTGACTTCTTTTTTCAGTATTACAAATGTGGTGCCCAGTTTGCATTGGTAACTCTAGGAACACTTGGTGCATATACAGCATTCACAATTGCAGTTACACGGTGGAGGTATGGTATTTCCCAGAGGCCAGTCAAGACTGCAGAAATTAGTTATGGTATAGCATATGTTTCATGCTGTATAAATCCTTGTCTTACAGAACTAGATTTAGAATTGAAATGAACAAAGCGGATAATGACGCAGGTAATGCTGCTATTGACTCACTGCTGAATTATGAAACTGTGAAGGTAATCTGTTTAAGTATCTTTTCGTCCGCCTTTCACACTAAGATTTATTCTGTCATTTAATTTAATAGATGTTGTAAGAATATCAGATTAGGATAGGATATCTAGGTATGATGAAATAATACTCCTTCATTTTTCTTTTGTTTAGAAATGTTCTCCACTTTCCTCTTCAGTTTTTATTTGGAAAAATCAGAATTTTACCTTCTGAATTAGTTTATAAATGATCATACATATGATTAACATCTTGATTACAAATGAATATTAGCTAATTCAGTTGACATACAAGTTCTCAATCCTCTTTTTATCCTTCAGCTTAGCATAATGCTTTTCCTTAAATCTTTCATTCATTTTTATATTCACTCACTTAGTAGTTGCTGAATTCCTCTCATATGCAAAGCACTGTACTAAGCACTATGCTATGATGGGAGAAGTTGGTAAAAAAGATTACAATGTCCTCCTTTACTCTCATAGTTTTATAATTTGCTAGAAAAGTTAAGTATTCAGATGACTAGTCAGAAAGACATGCTATGGTAAGGATAGTGGGAACTATGAATTTGAGGCATCAGGTTAAGGCTTTGTGAAGGAAGTGTCACTAGTAGAAGGCATGTTGAAATAAGCTCTAGGTTCCGATTGATCAACTAGTTAGTAAATGTTTATTGGATGAAATTTGAATATAATCCATTATTGAAAACCTTCAGGAATACCATAATCTAATATATTGAAAGACAATATAGATATATGTATGTGTGTATATATAGATAGATAGATAGATAGATAGATAGATAGATAGATAGATAGATAGATAGATAGATATAGATATAGATATAGATATAGATATAGATATAGATAGATTGATTCCTGGTTTTATTTTTGACAATTTCGTACATGTATTTAATGTATTGTGATTATATTCTCCCCCCATTGTCCTTTCTTTTCCCCTTCCCAGTATCCCTTCTTACCCCCTTTCTACTCCTGCTGACCCATTTTTTTCTTCAAAATTGAATTTTATGATAAGATCTTCAATACCAAAGTGTATCCATATATGAAGTGTAATAAAACTTACACCAATTGCATAAAAGAGTGTATATTCTAATTTGTCCATAGTTACTATTTTTATATATTTATAGTATTTCAATAATGAAAAATATGAAGCACAGAGATATGACGGATTTTTGAAGACATATGAGACTGCTTCATTGAAAAGTACCTCTACTCTGGCTATGCTGAACTTTGGCCAAAGTGCTATTTTCAGTGTCGGATTAACAGCTATAATGGTACTTGCCAGTCATGGAATTGTGGCAGGTAATGGATCTATGGTTATCACATTTAGAGACTATTATAAATGGGTTAATGGAAGGAATAAGTGTTTTGTATTAGTTGTAAAGTGTGCTCAGTAAAGCACTTAGACATTTTCAGAGTGTTTTTCTTTTCCTATCGGAATGTATTTTCTTGATTTATAATTCTTTTAATTCCTTTTGGTTAACACTGACTCACTCATTGAATGAAAGTACTGTTTACTCATTTTATGGGTCTATAACCCGATTCTTTAGGAGAAATTTTTTTGATTACCCATGTCAAGTTTTTACTTTATGATACCTTTTTAAAAATAATGTTTTTATTAATTTGAGACATCAACCTTTTTACTATCTAGTATTTTTAATTTTTCTTATAGATCTGGAAAACAATGCCATTAATTTGCTGTTTAGTTCAAATGACTTATTTTATAATTCAGTAGCTTTCTAGTAGGATTTTTCATTTACAAGTAATATCTGTGCCTGGTCTTCATTCATTCAGTTGGACATTAATATGAGATGTGTCATCTTTCTTGGTTATGATAGCCATTCACTCTAATTTTTAATATATGTGCTTTTATAAATTTTCTTTTTTATACTGTGTAAGAAGTATTTGCTTATGCCTTAGAGGAAAAAAGGAAATATTCTTAACCTTCCACTTCTGTCATTACTTAAATCATTCTTTTTTGTGTTTTATACATAGTATGTTAGGTATGCCTTTCCCTTTTCATGCAATATACACCAGGTTCCTACATTACCTAATTCATGTATTCATATGCTGTATAACTTGTGTCAGCTTAAATGTTGCTGATTATGTACATTTAGAACTATGTGTCAGAAATGGGCTATAAAACTCTGTCTTAAGCTGGAAAGCTTATACGTTTTCTTTCTTTTTCCAACTGCATAATAAGGTACCCTTACGGTCGGAGATCTAGTAATGGTGAATGGACTGCTTTTTCAACTTTCATTACCCCTTAACTTCCTGGGAACTGTATATAGAGAGACAAGACAAGCACTCATAGATATGAACACCTTGTTTACTCTGCTCAAAGTAGACACGCGGATTAAAGTAAGTAATGTATATAGTAGCCTTTTCAAAAGAACATTGAACACTGTCTCACTAATAGTGGGTTGTTCGAGGACAGTGGTTCTCAACCTGTGTGTCGTGACCTCCCACAGCAGGTCGCATATCAGATATCCTTCATATTAGATATTTATATTAAAATTCATAACAACAGCAAAATTATAGTTATGAAGTAGCAACAAAAAATAATTTATGGTTGTGCTCACCACAGCATGAGGAACTGTATTAAAGGGTCGCAGCATTAGGAAGGTTGAGAAGCACTGCTCTAGGAGAATATTCTTCTATCACTAGGTTAGACAGGTTCCTCATTGTCATCTCGTCCCCAACTCCTCACCCAGAAAATCTTCTCTGGGCGGTCACGGCACATACCTTTAATCTCAGCACTCCAGCACTGGGGAGACAGAGGCAGGCAGATCTCTGTGAGTTCCAGACCAGTCTGGTCTAAAAAGCAAGTTCCAGGATAGCCAGAGCTCTTGTTACACAGAGAAGCCCTATCTTGAAAAACAAAAAAATATAAAGAAAGAAAGTCTTCCCAGCAACCAAAATATGTAGGAATTTCTTACCTGCTCATTTTTATGCAGTGAGTAATGAAAAACCATACTTGGAAATGGCCTTCTTCCATTTGCATAAACCTCCTTTCCCATATTTTTCCTTGTCTCTCTGTTAATTAAAAACATCATCTAAAGAGCTTAAGTAGTATGTTAAGTTGTTTTTCTTTGACCTTCCCTTCTAGGACAAAGAGATGGCATCTCCCCTTCAAATAACACCACAGACAGCCACAGTGGCCTTTGATAATGTGCATTTTGAATACATTGAAGGACAGAAAGTCCTTAGTGGAGTATCTTTTGAAGTCCCTGCAGGAAAGAAAGTGGCCATTGTAGGAGGTAGTGGATCAGGGTAGGTAATTGAGTTCTTTATAGAATTATACATTATTGACTGATAATTCTGGACATGAATTTTTTTCATATTTTATTTATTTATAATTTGATTAATATTACATATCAGCCATGGATTACCCTGTCCTCCCTCCTCCCCTCCCACCCTCCCCCCAGCCCACCCCCATTCCCATCTCCTCCAGGGCAAGGACTCCCCTGGGGATTCAGCTCAGCCTGGTAGATTCAGTCCAGGCAAGTCCAGTCTCCTCCTCCCAGGCTGAGCCAAGTATCCCTGTATAAGCCCCAGGTTCCAAACAGCCAGCTCATGCACTGAGGACAGGTCCCAGTCCCACTGCCTGGGTGCCTCCCAAACAGTTCAAGCCAATCAACTGTCTCACTTATCCAGAGGGCCTGATCCAGTTGGGGGTTCCTCAGCTATTGGTTCATAGTTCATGTGTTTCCATTCGTTTGGCTATTTGTCCCTGTGCTTTATCCAACCTTGGTCTCAACAATTCTCACTCATACAATCCCTCCTCTTTCTCGCCGATTGGATTCCTGGAGCTCTACCTGGGGCCTGGCCGTGGATCTCTGCATCTACTTCCATCAGTCATTGGTTGAGATTTATAGCACGACAGTTAGGGTGTTTGGTCATCCTATCACCAGAGTAGGTCAGTTTGGGCTTTCTCTTGACCATTGCCAGCAGTCTATTGTGGAAGTATCTTTATGGATTTCTGGGGAGCTCTGTAGCACTTTGATTCTTCCTATTCCCATGGGGTCTTCATTTATCCTATTCATTTATTATCCCATGGTCTCTTTTTCCTTGTTCTCCCTCTCTGTTCTTGATCCAGCTGGGTTCTCCTGCTCCCCTAAACTCTCTTTCCCTCGACCCTTGCCCTTCATTAACCCCACGTCCAGTTTGCTCATGTAGATTTCATCCATTTCTCTGTCATTGGGCGATCCCTGTGTCTTTCTTAGGGTCCTGTTTTCTAGGTAGCCTCCCTGGAATTGTGGGTAGGAGTCTAGTTTCACATCTAGTATCTTCCTATGAGTGAGTACATACCATGTTTGTCTTTCTGAGTCTGGGTTAGCTCACTCAGGATGATTTTTTCTAGATCCATCCATTTGCCTGCAAACCTCATGAAGTCATTGTTTTTCTCTGCTGAATAGTACTCCATTGTGTATATGTACCACATTTTATTTATCCATTCTTCAGTTGAAGGGCATCTAGGTTGTTTCCAGGTTCTGGCTATTACAAACAATGCTGCTATGAACATAGCTGAGCATGTGCCCTTGTGGAATAATTGAGCATTCCTTGGGTATATGCCCAAGAGTGGTATAGCTGGATCTTGGGGGAGATTGATTCCCAATTTTCTAAGGAAGCGCCATATTGATTTCCAAAGTGGCTGTACAAGCTTGCATTCCCACCAGCAGTGGAGGAGAGTTCCCCTAGCTCCACATCCTTTCTAATGTAAGCTGTCTTCAGTGTTTTTGATCTTAGCCCTTCTGACGGGTGTAAGGTGGTATCTCAGAGTTGTTTTGATTTGCATTTCCCTGATGATTAGGGAGCTTCCTCTGTTGAGAATTCTCTGTTTAGCTCTATAGCCCATTTCTTAATTGGACTGTTGGGGATTTTGATGTCTAATTTCTTGAGTTCTTTATATATTCTGGATATCAGCCCTCTGTCAGATGTGGAGTTGGTGAAGATCTTTTCCCATTTTGTAGGCTGTCGCTTTGTCTTGTTGACCGTGTCCTTTGCTCTACAAAAGCTCAGTTTCAAGAGGTCCCATTGATTGATTGTTTCTTTCAGTGTCTGTGCTACTGGTGTTATATTTAGGAAGTAATCTCCTATGCCAATGCATTCAAGACTACTTCCTACTTTCTCTTCTAGCAGGTTTAGTGTAACTGGATTTATGTTGAGGTCTTTGATCCATTTGGACTTAAGTTTTGTGCACGGTGACAGATATGGATCTATTTGTAGCCTTATACATGTTGACATCGAGTTATGCCAGCACCATTTGTTGAAGATGTCTTCTTTTTTCCATTGTACAGTTTTGGCTTCTCTGTCAAAAATTATATGTTCATAGGTGTGCGGATTAATGTCAGAGTCTTAAATTCGATTCCATTGGTCCACATGTCGGTTTTTATGCCAGTACCAAGCTGTTTTTATTACTGTAGCTCTATAGTAGAGCTTGAAGTCAGGGATGCCTCCAAGAGGTTATTTTATTTTACAAGATTCTTTTGGCTATCCTGGGTTTTTTGTTTTTTCATATGAAGTTGAGTATTATTCTTTCCAGGTCTGTGAAGAATTGTGTTGGTATTTTGATGGGGATTGCATTGAATCTGTAGATTGTTTTTGGTAAGATTGCCATTTTTACTATGTTAATCCTGCCTATCCATGAGCATGGGAGATCTTTCCATTTTCTGACATCTTCAATTTCTTTTTTCAGGGACTTAAAGTTCTTGTCATATATGTCCTTCACTTGCTTGGTTAGTGTTACCCCAAGGTATTTTATGTCATTTGTGGCTATTGTAAAGGGTGATGTATCTCTGATTTCCTTCTCAGCTTCTTTGTCCATTGTATATAGGAGGGCTACTGATTTTTTTGAGTTGATCTTGTATCCTGCTATGATGCTGAAGGTGTTTATAAGCTGTATCAGTTCCTTGGTCGAATTTTTGGGGTCACTCATGTTTACTATCATGTCATCTGCAAATAGGGAAAGCTTGACTTCTTCCTTTCCAATTTGTATCCCCTTAATCTCCTTATGTTGTCTTATTGCTCTGGCTAGAACTTCAAGTACTATATTGAATAAGTATGGGGAGAGCGGACAGCCTTGCCTCGTTCCTGATTTTAGTGGAATTGCTTTGAGTTTCTCTCCATTTAATTTGATGTTGGCTGTTGGCTTGTTGTAAATTGCCTTTATTATGTTTAGGTATGTTCCCTGTATTCCTGATCGCTCCAAGACCTTTATCATGAAGGGGTGTTGGATTTTGTCAAATGCCTTTTCTGCATCTAGTGAGATGATCATGTGGTTTTTTTTCTTTGGGTTTGTTTATATGGTGTATTACATTGACGGACTTTCGTATGTTCAACCACCCTTGCATCCCTGGAATGAATCCTACTTGATCATGGTGGATAATTGTTTTGATGTGTTCTTGGAGTCTGTTTGCCAGTATTTTATTGAGTATTTTTGCATCCATGTTCATGAGTTAGATGGGTCTGTAGTTCTCTTTCTTTGTTGCATCTTTGTTTGGTTTAGGAATCAGAGTAATTGTAGCCTCATAAAAGGAGTTTGGTAATGTTTCTTCTGTTTCTATTGTGTGGAACAATTTAGAGAGTATTGGTATTAACTCTTCTTTGAAGATCTGGTAGAATTCTGTGCTGAAACCTTCTGGTCCTGGGCTCTTTTTGGTTGGGAGACTTTTAATGACTGTTTCTATTTCCTTAGAGGTTATTGGACTATTTAAATAGTTTATCTGGTCTTGATTTAACTTAGATATGTGGTACCTATCCAGAAAATTATCGATTTCTTTTAGATTTTCTAGTTTTGTGGAGTAGAGGTTTTTGAAGTATGACCTGATGATTCTCTGGATTTCCTCAATGTCTGTTGTTATGTCCCCCTTTTCATTTCTGATTTTGTTAATTTGGATGCTCTCTCTCTGTCTTTTGGTTAGTTTGGATAAGGGCTTGTCTATCTTGTTGATTTTCTCAAAGAACCAACTCTTTGTTTCATTAATTTTTTGTGTTGTTCTCTTTGTTTCTATTGATTTCAGCTCTCACTTTAATAATTTCCTGGTGTCTATTCTTCCTGGGAGACTGTGCTTCTTCTTGTTCTAGAGCTTTCAGGTGTACTGTTAAGTCTCTAGTGTGAGATTTCTCCAACTTATTTATGTGGGCATTTAGTGCTATGAATTTCCCTCTTAGTACTGCTTTCATAGTGTCCCATAAATTTGGATATGTGGTGTCTTCATTTTCATTGATCTCTAGGAAGTCTTTAATTTCTTTGTTTATTTCTTCCTTAACCCATTGGTGATTCAGTTGGGTATTATTCAGTTTCCATGAGATTGTAGGTTTTCTGTAGTTTTTGTTGTTGTTGAAATTCAACTTTAGACCATGGTGGTCTGATAGAACACAGGAGGTTATTTCAATTGTTTTGTATCTGTTGAGATTTGTTTTGTGGCCAAGTACGTGGTCGATTTTAGAGAAGCCTCCATGGGGTGCTGAGAAGAAGGTATATTCTTTCTTGTTAGGATGGAATGTTCTGTAGCTATCGATTAAGTCCATTTGAGACATAACATCAGTTAAGTCTTTTATTTCTCTGTTAAGTTTCGATTTGGCAGATCTGTCCAGTGGTGAAAGTGGGGCGTTGAAGTCTCCCACTCTTAATGTGTGGGGTTTTATATGTGGTTTAAGCTTTAGTAATGTTTCTTTTACATATGTGGGTGCCCTTGTGTTTGGGGCATAAATGTTTAGAATTGAAACTTCATCTTGGTGGATCTTTCCTGTGATGAGTATGTAATGCCCTTCTTGATCTCTTTTGATTGATTTTAGTTTGAAGTCTATTTTGCTGGATATTAGGATGGCTACACCTGTTTGTTTCTTAAGACCATTTGATTAGAAAGTCTTTTCCTAGCCTTTTGTTCTTAGGTAGTGTTTACCTTTGAATTTGAGGTGTGTTTCTTGTATGCAGCAGAAAGATGGGTCCTGCTTTCGTATCCATTCTGTTAGCCTGTGTCTTTTTATAGGTGAATTAAGTCCATTGATATTAAAGGATATTAATGACCAGTGTTTGTTCATTCCTGTTATTTTTTTGTTGTTGTTGGTAGTGTGTGTACTTCTCTTCTTTGCAGTTTACTGCTGTGGTGTTATCTGTTGCCTGTGTTTTCGAGGGTGTATCTGACTTCCTTAGGCTTGAATTTTCCTTCTAGTGCTTTCTTTAGGTCTGAGTTTGTGGATATATATTGTTTAAATCTGGCTTTGTCTTGGAATGTCTTGTTCACTCCATCTATGGTGATTGAAAGTTTTGCTGGGTATATTAGTCTAGGCTGGCATCCATGGTCTCTTAGTGTCTGCATTACATCTGTCCAGGTTCTTCTGGCTTTCAAAGTCTCCATTGAGAAATCAGGTGTTATTCTGATGGGTTTGCCTTTATAAGTCACTTGGCCTTTTTCCTTTGCTGCTCTTAATATTCTTTCTTCTGTATGTTTAGTTGTTTAATTATTATGTGGTGAGGGGACTTTTTTGGGGGGTCTAGTCTGTTTGGTGTTCTATAGGCTTCTTGTATCTTCATAGGCATTTCCTTCTTTAAGTTGGGAAAGTTTTCTTCTATGATCTTGTTGAATATATTTTCTGTGCCTTTGAGTTGGTATTCTTCTCCTTCCTCTGTAGCTAGAGTTTTCCTGCCTGGCCCACAGTCAGGACAAATCTCTATCACCCGCCAGTCCCACAGCCGCTCAGACCAGACCAAGTAAACACAGAGACTTACATTGGTTACAAATTGTATGGCCGCGGCAGGCTTCTTGCTAACTGTTCTTACAGCTTAAATTAATCCATTTCTGTAAATCTATACCTTGCCACGTGGCTCGTGGCTTACCGGCATCTTCATATGCTGTTTGTCATTGTGGCAGCTGGCAGTGTCTCTGACTCTGCCTTCCACTTCCCAGCTTTATTCTCCTCCTTGTCCCGCCTATACTTCCTGCCTAGCCAATGGCCAATCAGTGTTTTATTTACCAACCAATCACAGCAACACATTTGCCATACAGAACATCCCACAGCACTCCTCTATCCCTATTATTCGTAGATTTGGTCTTTTCATGGTGTCCCAAATTTCTTGGACATTTTGGGTCATGACTTTGTTGGCTTTAATGTTTTCTTTGACTGATGCATCTCTTTCTTCTACCGTATCTTCAACGCCAGAGATCCACTCTTCCATCTCTTTCATTCTGTTGGTTATACTTGCATCTGTAGTTCCTGTTCCTTTACTCAGATTTTCTATTTCCAGCATTCCCTCTGTTTGTGTCTTCTTCATTTTTTCTATTTCCCTTTTCAGGTCTTGGACTGTTTCCCTCATCTGTTTCATTGCTTTTTCATGGTTTTCTTTCAGGTATTTATTGTTTTCTTCTGCTTTATTTGTCTTTTCTTCTAGTTTTTTTATAGCGTTCTTCCCATTTTTTGTCTGTTCCTCAGTTTCATTTTTGATTTCTTCTTTATAGGCCTCTAGCATCTTCGTGATATCATTAAGGTTGATTTCTTCTGCTTTTTCCATTTTGTGATGTTCAGGTCTTGCTGTTGAAGGAGGGCTAGGTTCTGGTGTTGCTGTATTGCTCTTTATTTTGTTGTATGTACTTCTGCCTTGACGTCTGCCCATCTCCTTGTGGATTCGTTCTTGGTCCAGACAGAGCTGACAGATTCGGCATTTCTGGAAGCCTCTCTGGTCCAGATGGGCACTGGGGGCTCTGGTCCAGATGGATGCTGGGGGCTGGTCTCCAATTCTCAGGAAGTAGGGGGTGGTCTTGGGCGGATGGGTGTGGGGGCAGGGCGTGTAGACTGCAGGGTCTGCCGGGGGTCTTAGAGAAGGGGAACCCTCCCAGGGGCCCTGCTCAATGGCCAGAAACTGGGGCCAAGTTGGGCAGGTCTCCCCCGGAACGGCTGGTGCCCAGGGATGGGACCTAGGGGCAGGCCTCTCTCTGTGTTTGACCCCAGGCACTCACCTCTGGTTGTGAATTTTTTATCATTGTGAAATAATTACTATACTTAAATGATACATCTCATATACTAATGATGGCAGATGCTGATTAACCTTTCCTCATCTCCAATTTCAGAAAAAGCACAATAGTGAGGCTGCTGTTTCGCTTCTATGAGCCTCAAGAGGGTAGCATTTACCTTGCTGGTCAAAATATACAAGATGTGAGCCTGGAAAGTCTTCGGAGGGCAGTGGGAGTAGTACCTCAGGTATTTTTTTAAAAATGTAATTGTTAGAGGGTTGGTGGATATATTACTATAATAATTTGAATCAACATATGCTAATGAAGTGTATAATGTTAGACCTTTCAAGTGAAATTCTGCTACCAAAAGAAATTGTTTTGAGATAGCATCTCACCATGTACATGGAATTTACTATGTAAACCAAATTGTCCTCAATCAAGCAGACATGGTTTTTAGCCATAACTCCAAGACTAATCAGTTCTGTGGCACTAGTCTCACTTTCCTCATTTCTAAAATAAAGATACTATTTATAAGAAACAGTTACTGTAGAGAATACACATACATATATATGCTGCAGACACAATACCCACAATATATATGTTCAGAAAATGAAAGCTAATAACTTTGAATAGCTTTCAACATATTAAATTTATAATTACAAAGTAATTTATCTACCAACTTCAAGTTTTATGCCTTATTTGCTACTATGTTCTCTTCACTATTAGACATACAGTGCCTGACTTACAGTAATCATTCAAAAACTTTTGGTGATTGGCGTTGGAGCAGGGAAGTAAATTTAAAATAAAGCCTGAGAAAACAAGTAGTCTTATAGCATGTATGGTTTTACCTTGAATGTCTATAAAGGAGTCTGAAGCTGTAACTTAATTATAGAGTACTTGTCTGATGTCCACTGGTAATGTTGATTCATGAAACCAGTATCAGATCTCTGGGAGAACAAATCATATGAGGAAGGGACAGGAGGAAACCTACAAGAAAGTCATCAGGAAGGAAATGGTTACCACACCTGTAATCCCAGCACTTGGGAGGCTATGATATGATAATTGACTTAAGTTTGAGGCAGCTTGGGCTATAGTGCATTCCAGGCAGGTCTGGACTACAGAGTGAGAGTCTATCTTTTAAAAAGCCAAAACAAATAGAGTGATCAGACAGGGATATGCCAATTATAAAAGGTCCCTAAGTGTTCTAGTGTAATCCTGTCTTTTCCTGAGAATCCCAAATTTTAGTGGGTATGAGTCACCTAGGGAGACTGTGGAAATTCCATTTCTTTTTCCATGCTCTGCTTCTGATCATGGAGTACATTGTGAGCCCAGAAACCTATTTTTTAATATGTATCTTAGACAATTCTGATAGATGGTTTGTAAGACTGACTATATGTTAAGAAATATAGGTCAATACTGTTTGCCAAGTAAACTGCATTCTAGGTTGTGATTTCATATTATTCTGTGTTATATAATTCATTTAAGTCTTATTTCTGCCATTCTGTTGGGCTATATAATGATTTCACTTATCCTTTTGAAAAATAAAGCACTAAATTCATGAATGAAGAAAAGCTATTCATCTTATTTGAGACATTAGTAATATAAATTGTGAAAATGAAATAGCACTTTTACCTATTATATTGATAAACGTAGTTGTTTCTTTTTTACTCTTTTCTCTTTGGATGGCCTGCCACCTAGCTCCCAAATCATCACATGGAGACTTATTCTGACTTATAAATGCCCGGCCTTAGTTTGGCTTGTTTCTAGCCAGTTTTTCTTAAATTATCCCATCTATCTTTTGCCTCTGTGTGGTGGTATTTTACTTGTACTGAAATGTGATTTTAATTGTATGTTAATAAATAAAGTTGTCTGGGGGTCAGAGCTATTAGAGCCATAGCAAGTGCATGGCGGCAGTGGCGCACGCCTTTAAGGACCTGGAGGGCGGTACATTCAGGCAGTGACGAGGCAGTCACATGTTTGGGTTTACAACCAATGAGAAGGCAGAACAGCTAGACTATATAAAGACACACACAGGAAGTAGGTCCCCTTTTCAGAGAGCTCTCTTGGCTGAAGAGGATCGCTGAATCAGGAAGGGTGAGGCTCTTAGCTCTGACCTCTTGGCTTTCTTCTCTGAATCGGCTCTGTGTTTCTTATTTAATAAGACGGTTGGTTACATCTACACCTCTGGACTTTTGCCTTTTTCTATTTCTGTATATCTCTTCTTTCCTTCTTACTCCATTGCTGCTTGTGTAGGTGGGTGGCTGGCCCCTGATGTCCTCTTCTCCTCCTTTTCTCATTCCTCCTTCTCCCCTCTTTTTCTCCTATTTATCTGCTTCTCTGCCTGGCAGCCCCACATATCCCTCTCCTGCCTAGCTATTGGCCATTCAGCTCTTTATAGACCAATCAGGGGTTTTAGGCAGGCAAAGTAACATGGCTTCACAGAGTTAAACAAACGCAACATAAAAGAATGCAATACATTTTTGCATTATTAAACAAATATTACACAGCATGAAAGAATGTAACACATCTTTAACTAATATTCCACAACAGATTAAGATTCTGAAAATCAGAATATCCAATTTAGACATAACCCTGTAACGTGGGCAGCCTTGCTCTTCTGAGGGAAGAATATGACTTGCAAATTGGCAATACATATAAAGTCCTGGAAAAGTATTCTAATAAAAATTTTAGTAAGAAATTAAAAGATACAAACATGGGTCTTTACATACAATGTTAACTACAACATTATTTATCATAATGAAAGGTGGATGCAATATAAATATTCAATGATAATTGAATGCTTGAAGTCTTATAGAATCAAGTGACATGTAGTCATTTTTAAGCATTAAGTTTTCAAATTATATTATTATTGTTGTTGTTTAACATATATGAGTATTTTGCCTGCATATGTCTTTGTACCCCATGCATCCTGGTGCTTAAAGAGACCCGAAAAGGGATTTGGATTTCTTAAATCTGGGGTTGCAGATGACTGTGACTGTGTACTGGGAACTGAACCCAGGTTCTCTGGAAGAGCAGCCAGTGCTCTTAACCAGTGAGCCATCTCTCCAGCCCAGTATAAAAGTTTTAAAGAATATTGAGTATCATGAATAGTATGTCAATACAAAGTTTACTGAAAGAAGGATTGTTGTGGAATATTACTTTAACTATGTAGAGATGTGTTACATCTGTTTATGTTACAGAATATTACTTTATGTAAAGGTGTGTTGCATTTGTTCATGCTGCATTGTTTAACTATGTAAGGATGCATTACATTTGTTTATCATGCATTTGTTTAATGATATAAAGATGTGTTGCTTTGCCTGCCTAAGGTACCTGATTGATCTAATAAAAACCCGAATGACCAATAACCAGGCAGGAGAGGGATGGGCAGGGCTGGCAGGCAGAGAGATTAAGTAGGAGGTGGAATCTAGGCTCGAGAGGAGAGAACGAAGGAGAAAGAGAGAGAAATGGCCAAGGCCAGCCAGCCAGGTAGTGAAAGTAGGACATACAGAATGAAAGTGGTAAACAGTCCTGAGGCAAAACGTAGATGAAGACAAACAGGTTAAGTTATAAGAGCTAGTGGGACAAGCATAAGCTAAGGCCAAACATAGGTAACTAGTATTAAGTCTCTGTGACTTTATTTAGGTGCTGGTGGCCTAAGAAACCATGCTACAAAGGATATCAAACAAAATTTTCCAGCTATACAACATAGATTAATACTTGCAAGTAGAGAAAAAGATGGAATAAATACCAAAGTATTAATGTTTTTTTCTAAATTATAAAGTTAATACATTATTTAGTTTCTTAAAGTTGTGAACTGTATATGTGTGTGTGTGTGTGTGTGTGTGTGTATATACATATATATATGTGTATATATATATGGTACACACCATGTTATATCATACCTACGGATAGTTCTGTGGTTACTTAAACTAAATTAACAATTGCATTATTTCACATAATTACCTGTATTGATTGTGTGACAAGAGTCTTTAGCCAAAGTCATGGAAAAAGATCATTTGTGTTTTGTTTTAGGAAATAGGATTTCACTCTTATAGTGCAGGCTAGCATCAAACTCATGATGCTCCTACTACTGACTCCCAAGTGCTGGGATTACAAGGGTAGGCCACCACACCTGTTTAGTTAATTTTCATTTTATCCATTTTTGTTGTATTTTTCTATTTTTCAGGTAGCATTTATTATTTTTTACAGAATATAAAATACTGTAAAGTAGTTCTATGTGTAGAATTTTGAGCTTATTTGCTACAATCTCAATATGAGAAATTTATGTTAGTAGTAGATATATAAATGATCAGAATATTACTTGAAATAATATCTGAAATTCTGAGCCTGAAAATTATGTAAAAGAAGACCTTAACTAGGTCTCCTGGTGAACATTAACAATTAGAGCCATTTTATTTCACCTTACTTTCAACCATTCAGACTGAAAAAAGAATAGGAGATGAATGCTCACTTGAAATAAATTATCTTTAGTATGCCATGTCAGAACAAGGTGAATTATCAAATGAAAGCTTGCAATGAACTTCCTGTAATAAATACATACATGATGCACAAATTCTGTATTTGCTGAGTTTTAAGTCCCAAGTAAAAGCTTCGTATAAACAGAGGGAAATATATTTAACCTCATCAGTAATTAAGAAAATGCTAATGTAAACAAAAAGTACATGTCACTCTAAAAGTCACAGGTGAAAATGAGTAAAAACGAAGGTTGCTAAAGCTATGGAGCTCTAGCAACCTTACATGCCGCTAAGTAGAACATACTCATATATTACTAGCTGCTGTTTGTCCAGGACAACTGAGCAATAAAATTGCAGAATAAGCATAAACTTATATTTTGATCTATCAGTTAACATCTAGGACTTCTTACATAAATACTTATTTGTGTAAAGCCATTTATATAATGCTATTTTATTTCAACATGTTTATCACATTAATGTACATGGAGGAATAAGTTAATTATATCTATAGTATGAAATGTATAACTATTAAAAGAATGAAGTATGTTTCTATTATCCAGAATGGACAATCTCCAGCATATGTTAAATAGATAAAGCAATTTACAAAATAGTATGTATAGACTGGGTTCCCTTGTATTAAAAAAAAGTATATGCTTAAGCATATAAATGTCTAGAAGTAAGTCTGGAATGAACATAACAAATTATACATAGTGATTAGCTTCAGAAAGGGACCTGAGACTGCAGGACACTCAAAAGGGATTGTCATGGTTTGCTATTTACTATTACTTTATGTCTTTATATTTTTTACAATTTGTATAATGAACACATATATGCATACATACATGTGTGTCTATACAAATCTGCTTCAGGATGCCGTCCTCTTCCATAACACTATCTACTACAACCTTTTATATGGAAACATCAATGCTTCACCAGAGGAAGTATATGCAGTAGCAAAATTAGCTGGTCTCCATGATGCAATTCTTCGAATGCCACATGGATATGACACACAAGTAGGGGAACGAGGACTCAAGCTATCAGGTGAGCAAAGATTTTAAATCTTCTGCTTGTATATTCTCTTCAAACCAATTGTGGGACTATTTATATTATTGATGGGACCTCAGGTATATCAGTGTTAAAGTATAATCCACAGCCTTTATATTTAAGGAAAGCCAAGACTGTTACTCACCTGGAATATGAAAGTAGAGTTAAGTAGTTTAGTACTGAATAGTGTATCTCTCATCTCATTTCCTAGGTGCGCGTCAGCTGTCTAGACATCCTTATACTTAGTCCTGTTTATTTTCTTATCCTTTTTAGTTAGCTCACTGGTGAGAGAAATTTTGAGGCTTGTATGTTTCTATGTAAATCTTTAATCATGAGATGGTATGTTTAATGATAACCTTAAAATGAATTTTTGAATAATTCATTTATTTACGAGATTTATTAAGTACACACTTGCATGGCTCGTATGACAAATTATTTATGAGTAGTTGGTCCTGCTGTCAAGCAATTTGTGGTCAATTAGAGATTTTTTATTGAGCTTAAGAATATTTTAAGCAAAGATTTTCCAGTTAAGTTGGTTTGTGGTCATTGTTTGGTCATAACTTTGTAATAGATGTTTATCATTTCAGTCTACCTTATAAAGGTTTATATAATTTGCCATTGCAGTTAAAAGAAGGTAAAATGTATTCATTATACATTCTTATTTTGAAAAATGCTATGAAATAACAACTTATCTCAAAATGTTCTTAAATATTAGTAGGTTGGGACCTGTTTATGTTGTTATAAATTAGATATTCATGGTTTCATGTCTTTAAGTTTTTTAGTTTCAGATATTGGATTTGTCTTTTTGCTTTGTTGATTCTTTGCTAATGAATTTTTTTATCTAAGCTTGTTACATATTTGAAATATCTGTAATAGAAAGTAACATAAATGATAAACATTTCTGGTAAGAACAATTGGAGAATCAAAGTTGTTACTTCTCATTTTCATCCATTTCACTGACATGAATCAGAGATTCATTAAGATTGCATTTGTATTCCATGGACTATAGTTTGTCAAAGGATACCATATGTAGACTTAGACTGAACAATTTAGTAAAATGAAGAGTGATAAAGAGTGCACGTATAACTTGATGGTTGTAATCAACAGAAACACTAGAAACAGAATATTACTGTATTATGTTTCCTTAAATTAAAATTTTTCTTTTCTAGGAGGAGAAAAACAGAGAGTAGCAATTGCAAGAGCCATTTTGAAGGACCCCCCAGTTATTCTCTATGATGAAGCTACTTCATCATTAGATTCAATAACTGAAGAGGTAAATGACAATGAAAATAACAAAGCAAACTTCTTTCCTTGGAAGATTCAGTTCAATGTCTTCATTATTAGAATACTGGTTCTCAACCTTCTTAATGCTGCAATCCTTTTAATACAGTTCCTTATGTTGTGGTGACTACAACCAAAAAATTATTTTCATTGCTAATTCATAATTTTACAACTTTTATGAATCGTAATATAAATATCTGTTACTCAAGATATCTGATATGAGACTCCTGTGAAAGGGTCATTTGTCCCCCAAAGGGGTTGTGACTTACAGGTTGAGAACTACTGACTTAGTGTTTTGAATAAATTTCATTAGGAGGTATTATAAAGCAAAATACCTAACCCCTTCGTTCCCTATGGCAAGTGTTAATGAATGCTACAAAAGCCAGGTTGCATTGAACCAGATAATACACTGTTAAATCTGTTCACAGATGTGCTTCCTTTTGGAAGTATGTGATACCCTATGCTGTTATTACATTACTCTTGCATCTTGCAAAGCTGTACATATTATCCAACATGCTAGTGAGAGAAGAAAGTTTTAATAACTATCTTGTCCTTAATAGAAGTCATGTAAGTGACTCTGACACAGTATATACCAGAATGCCTTTCACTTACTATTGAAGTGCAAGTCAGGCACATACAACCCTTAGACTGGTGTCATTTGTGTTCATTCACAAAAGTGTTGTGTAACAACAAGAGTTTTGTGACAATGATGTCATGATATTACCCCAACTAGTTCATTGCATCTTCTAACATCTTTACATTACATACAAAAGTTTTAGCAGCAATGATAATTTCATGTGGGTTAATCTACAACTAAAAATAGGCAAATGCTACTTTTCACTGAGTATGTGGTATAAACCTAATGTTAAGGTAGAGGTCTACTTTCAGCTTTACAAGTAATATTTCAGCTTTACATGTAGTATTTACATGTTTGAATTAAATTTTAGGGAACATTATTATATTATTAGCAATATACTTAAAACAATTCAAAGTAGATTCATTTGAGAATTATACATTAAACAGGACTAGATCCCATTCAGAAGAGAATAGCAGCCTACTTATGAGAACTTCATACCTAAATATCTGTCATACAAGTTACAAGCTAACAAGATAAAATTTGTAACAGCAGTTTTTAAGTCACATAACATTATTATGCCAGAGAATATAACCCATTAAGCATTTACAAAGAATTCCTCAGAGGAAAAAGTTGTGATAGATTTCGGTGAGTCTTTTTAATAGGTACAGAGAAGGCAGAATTTAAATTTTTATAGGTAAGAAAGGAGAGAGACTTCTACAAACATCAGGTTGATCATTTGTCTGTCCTAGTAAAACATAAGGCCTCCTTTTCAGAAAACTGTCTGCTGCCAGTAATTTTCTGCTTTTAAAACATGAAATGTTTAGAAATACTTGTGGGAAGCCAGTGAGTACATCCCCATTACCCACACTGTTTCTTTAGCCAACTAGCTCTAAAGATAAGTGAACACATATGTAACTGTATTATACTTTATAGGTAGTAAACAAAATCTATTTTCTAGAATGCATTAAGAATTAAAAATATGAGCCAGGCAGTGGTGGTGCACGCCTTTAATCCCAGCACTTGGGAGGCAGAGCCAGGCAGATCTCTGTGAGTTCGAGGCTGGCCTAGTCAACAGAGTGAGTTCCAGGACAGGCACCAAAACTACACGAAGAAACCCTGTCTCAAAAAACAAAAAAAAAAAAAAAAAAAAAAAAACAACAACAACAAAAAACAAAAACCCTCAAAATGTGGCCAGGCACACCTTTAATGCCAACAGTTTAAGGCCAATTGGATCTACATAGTAAGTCTTGTACCAGTTTGTCTCAAAAAACAAGAACTCAAAATGCTTTTGGAAAAAAAGGGCTTCCTCAAATTAAAAGTACAAATGTTCCTGCGTGCTTCTAGACTCCTGTCTTTGTTTGAGATTTTTTGTATTTTCTCTGTGTCCTGTCACTTGAGTACTTCCTCATTTTAGTTTTGTTCTTATTGATAAGATTATATATGACTATGCTCCTCATATCACCAGAGTTTGTCTTTTTTAAAACATAGAAAATATATCCTTGTCCCAGGTATTTTAGTGACATGCTGCCTATTTAAGTGATAATGTTTTTATTACAGTGTACTTGTACTCATGTTTACTTCCCAAATTTCATTTTTTTTGTCTTTTTATTTATTTCAGTAATTATTAGAGGTGAAATATTTAGTGTTGATGTAAATTCCTAAGTTCCTTTAGGAAAGATATGATTGTTTTAATTTACATTAACCTAATGAGAGCTCTGGTTTGGTTTTCTCCTACTTTTGTCAAACTTGTAGACTATTCTTGGTGCCATGAGGGATGTGGTCAAGCACAGAACTTCTATTTTCATTGCACACAGATTGTCAACAGTGGTTGATGCAGATGAAATCATTGTCCTTAGCCAGGTAAGAGATGAACTTTAAAAGTTAGTATTCATTGCTACTCAGCCTTAATTAGAGAAGTTTCTCTCTGCAGTGATAGGCAGTGAATGCAGGGATTCATGGCTGCTAAAGGTGCAGAAAATAACTGACAGTTGAGTGTTTAACCCTAAACAGCACATTTATACTACTCCCTCTAATGCTTAGGGGACACACAGGAATAGGTGCGGGGGAGGGTTGGGATAGGGGATAAAGAACCAGAAGATAGGAAGGAAGGCTGTGAAATGCTGTTTTCTGGCCATAACACAACCATTGTAATCGTAATCTTACAGCAGCTGCAGCTACCTGCAGTGGGTTTGCACAAGACTGAGCTAGTCAGCAGTCAAGTCATGAATACAGGAGGGAGTCACAGGGCCATATCCTTCCCAAGGAACTATTGACTACTTATGGATTCTAGGGGAGGGCAGTCATTGTCTGCACTTGTGTACCTAAAGGTGAACCCACCAGACTCCAGTGGATATTCCTAAACCAATGTTCATATAGACTGTCCTGGTAAAAAATCAATGGATCACAAAACAAAAAGACATGAATGGAGGAAATGCACTTATAGGGAGGAGCGGGTTTAACAGGGGTGAAAGGAAGACAAGAGAAGGTAGGGGTGAAAGTAATCAGTAAGTTAATTGTGTGTGTGTGTGTGTGTGTGTGTGTGTGTGTGTATGACCTTATCAAAGAATAAATTTAATAGAAGCTATAAAAAGGAAAAATGATAGTATTTGAAGAATATTGGAACAGCTATAGATAACTGAAATTTAATTATTGCATCTAATAAAATGTTACAGAATTTGTGTTCTTTAGATGAGATTGAATCCTAATAGTATTCTGGCTTTAGTCACTTTTGTAGGAAATAATGTGTGAAATTTCCAAGAAGGATAAACTATATTAACTCACTCTTTATTAAAGAACTAAAAGCAAATGTTTGATCAGGAAAGTATTAATTCTTCAAGATATAAGCCTATTTTTCAATGACTGTCTATATAAAATAATTTTTCTGCATTCATTTTTGCCCTGAATAGACCTTTGCACAGTGTCTTTGATGTACTTTTATTGTTCTAATGCTATATATAACCTTAATGTCTTAAAAATTACAGTAAAATAAAAATGATCATTTTTAAACACAACCACTTATATTTTTTGTTTTCCTTATAGGTAAAGTAAAAAAAAAATCCTATTTTATCACTTTTGAGAGAATTACTATACACACTATCTAAATGTTCTCAGCCATCATTTTTGTGATTGGCAGATTTGAAAATTTTTAATAATTGTCCTTTACTCCTTTCTGTAAGGATCTCTTTTCCCTTGCCTCTTACTTAACATTTGATTATTTCTAACACTGTTCGCTTTTTCATATCACATTCAGAGCCTTTTCCATCATTATCTTTCTCTTCTGATCAATACTTCTATTCTTTATTGTTTTAGAAGCTTGTGTACTGAGAGTTAAGAGACAGGAAGCAATTGTGTGATTTCTATAGTTTCAGTTGTTAAGATGGACTTTTTTGTGATGCTGTAGATTGAACTCAGAGCCTTGTACATGCTAGCAAGTGTTCTACTGGTGAACTGTATTCCCAGCCCACAAGGGTTTTTTTTTTTAGACAGTATTCAATATTGTGATGTCTATACCCTTTGCTCTATAAGGGTGTGTGTGCTTGTGACTTTAAGCATGTTAATTTGTTCATAAATGTTTACATTCTTTAGAAAATAAGCTGTTTTTCCCAATATAGTTATACCAGAATATCTTAAGTGGTAACTTAAACCTTACCATATATATTTTTGATATTCAAGAACCTGAAATAAAATCTGATATTTTATGCCTTTTAAACTAAGCTTACCAATTGTATGCAGTCATGCTCTCAGAGCTTTTATTCAGTAATAGAAAATGTTGAAATTTCTTAGCAAATAATATATTTACATATGTCCGTGCAGATATGTCACAACATTGCCCTGTGGGTTTTGAATTACAATTACAATTAATGTATTAATGGCCATAACATTTGTGTTTATATAAACCTTCTTGGTACTTTTGTTTGTTGGCTAATTGCTTAATTATGTGACCTCATTTTCAACTGGTGGTCTGTCTGTCAAAATTTGACATTGTCAAAATTTGCTTATGATATTTCTGTTTAGGTGGCATGTCTACAAGTCATCTGATTGAGTATGGAAGATTAGACACACTTACTCTCCTCTTCCATCCAAACTAAAATGAAAGTGAAGGAATAAAATGAGTGTAATTACAAATCAACAAAGATACTAGAAGAAGAGTTAATACTGGACAAAGAATATCAGCAAATATGGGGAAGATGTTAAGTAGATAGATTAGAAGGGCTGAGAAATTTGGATACTATGATGTGCCAAAATAGAGAGAAAACAGTTTGAAAAAGTGACTTGATTCACACTGTAGAAACCAGAAATGGCTCAGAGTTGGAGGCATCAGGGTATTATAGAAAGTGAAGGTGAGTATGAGGCTGAAAATATCAGAATTCATGTTTATATGAGAAACAGAAGCCAGGCCTGTTGACACAGCTTGTAATCCCAGCTGCTAGGGAGGCTGAGCCTGGGAAGCTTAGTAAGACCTTGCCTCAAAATAAAAATGTAGAAGAGGGCCTGGGATATAGCTTAGTGATTGCATGTGTGAAGCCCTAGGTTCAATTCCCACTACTATTAAGATAATTTTGAAGGTTTTTTTCTTATCCCTTATAGCCTGGTGTTTACCCCCTGCCAGCCTTAGCCGGAAGTTTACCAAACAGTTATTTCCACCATTACCTTCTTTCATCAGCAAATAATGGGAGGATTCTTCTCTGGAGAAACCAAAGTAGCCCCTCAAAAAGAATATTAATTTTAGTTGGTTGTCTTATTACTCTTTACTTTTGGGGGGGCTGCCACCCAGCTCCCAAATAAATACACACAGAGGCTTATTCTTTCTTATGAATGCCTCACCTTAGCTTGGCTTGTTTCTAGCCAGCTTTTCTTGAATTATCCATCTCTTTTGCCTTGGGGCTTTTACCTTTCTCTATTTCTGTATACCTTTCATTATTTCTTACTCCATGGCTTGCTGTGTAGCTAGGTGGCTGGCCCCTGATGTCCTTCGCCTTCTTTTCTTGTTCCTTCTTCCTTTCCCCCAATTTTCTCCTTCTGTTTATTCTCTATGCCTGCCAGCACTGCCTATCTTTTTTCCTACCTTGCTATTGGCCATTCAGTTCTTTATTAGACCGATCAGGTGTTTTAGACAGGCACAGTAACTAACACAGCTTCACAGAGTTAAACAAATGCAACATAAAAGAATGCAATACATCATTGTATCATTAAAACATTTGTTTATGCTGTGGAACATTTGTAATACATCTTAAAATAATATTCCACAACAATTAATGTTTGGGGCTGCAATAAGATGGCCAGGTATCCAAATGATCACCCAACCACAAAGCATGCCAATTGAGAAGGCCGTTCCCATGCACACAACCTGCAGATAGCCTTTTAATGTTCCATTCTTTAGTGTTAAAAGAGAATAAATGAAGATGTTGAAAGCAAACAGAATGAAAGGGGTTCAATAAAATATATGAACAATGCAAAGAGCTGTAAGAAATATTTTCAAATATCCCTGGAAGTCATGAAAAACAAAGCATTTCTAAAATAATGACAAGTGCTATTCAGAAAAGGAAAGGAAGCATATGGCATGATTTCAATATATGATTGAGTGAAAAAAGTGGAGTGCAAATGACATGTTGTATGCCATCTTTTGCAAGAAGGATGAGGGAAAGAATGTATGTATATGTGCTTATTCTTCCAAAGAGAAATTCAAGAAGGATAAAATAGAAACTAAAACAGTTGACTATCTACAGAATGGAGATGAAAAAGTTTTGCAAGACATGAGCAAATAAGATTTTCCTGAATATATGTTTATGTTTATTTTGCTTTTGATCTATTTTATATATTAAAAATTTTTATACACACACATATATATATGTATCTATGTATGTATGCACAGTCCCAAACATATTGACATGGTGTGAAAGCTAAAAGAACATTACCATTTGATGGGCTGTAAAGGACTAGTTGGAGAGAAAGAATGTGGAAGAGAGTAAGATATATGTATTAACATGTCACAGTGAAGCTCATTATTTTGTGTACTAACTAAAAATACAAAAATAAATCAAGAATACAAAAACATAAAAATTGAACACTTAACAGGAAGCAAAACTATCACACTGGTAACCACACAAAAAAGAATAGAACCAATCCATGTAATTTTTTAACGCAATACTCCAATTATATACTCTTATTAAATGTCCTGATTTTCTTCTCTATTGCTATGATAAAACACTGACCAAAACCAACTTGGGGGAGGGAAGGATCTACTTGGCTTACAAGTTACAATCTGTCATTGACAGAAGCTAAGGCGGGAGCTGAGGCAGAGGCCATAGAGGAATGCTGCTTACTGGCTTACTCCCCTTGGCTTGCTCAGCCTGCTTTCTTATACACCTGAGAATTATCAGCCCAGTGATGGCACCACCACAGTGTGCTGGGGTCTTCCACATTAATCAATCAAGTAAATGCCCTCCAGACTTGCCTACAAGTCAATCTTATGGGAGCATTCTTTCAGTTGAGGTTCCTTCTTCCCATATGTGCCAAGTTTGTGTCAAGTTGACAAAAAAAACTAACTAGGATATTAAATATAAATTTATTATATTTATTATATCATATAACCAGGATATAGTTCTAATCTACCTACTTAACTACTTCCCCATGTATTATATAATATACAACTGTATTATAAGGACAAATAGTCCAAAGGAAAGAGTTGGTAATTTTATGGAAGTACCCATTTTGAAATTATTCTGTATGTAAGACTGAGCAGCATATACTGAGTAAATACACTGCTCCTTGAACAGAGACCTTATTTGGGAGAAAAAAGTTGCAAGTAAAAAAATCATCAGAGATACTTACTTGACCTCAGTCTGTGGGGAAGGCTTTGCCCTGGAGGAGATGGGAATGGGGGGGGGGGCGTTGGGGGGAAGGTGAGGGGGACGGGAGGGGGGGAGAACAAGGGAATCCGTGACCGATATGTAGAACTGAATTGTATTGCAAAATAAATTAAAAAAAAAAACAAAAAAAAATCATCAGAGGAGTGGAAGACTCTCACAAGATTATGCTTTAACAGAATTATCCATATAAATTCCTTATACGAAAAGTATTCTAATTCTGTCTACTGAAAAAGCCTGGGAGCAATGAAAGTCTAAAAGTAATGAGCATTCCCAGCACACAGATTTGGGGCACTAAATTACTATTTCTTACTAAAAGGAACCAACCCTTCTTCGATAAAAGCTGATCTGGGGCAGGGAAACTAATGAACACGTGTCACAAGGACACAGGAACCACTTTGAATGCCCTCCCACTGGCCAAATGTGGGATAATTAGAGCAGTAAAATGAATAATGGCACTAATGAGTTGAAACATACTGAATAAAAAACTAATTTCTACATCCATGATAATACTTTAAAACAAGAAGTGCCAAGGGGAAAAGAAAAGCCCTTCTGTAAGAAGACCAGCAGCCAGCTGTGGAAGGAAGAATGCTATATTTAGAAAATCAGATTTTGCAACCACCATTGTAATAATTGTTTGAGAAAACAGTCACCACTGGCTGATAAAACTATCAGTTCAAAAGCAAAACCCATAGATTACTTCTTAATTACAAGGATAAAACTTGATGGTTAAATAGAGAAACTTTGTAGATACCCACAACCACAAGATCAAATTTCGTATCAGTAATGGAACAAACTAGCTTCCTTACCTCCTCATGTGATGATGCATTGAAGACCTATTACCCTTTTAAAATTTTATTTTTACTTTTAATTATGTGTGTATGTGTGGGTCTGTAGGATAGGGGATTGTGCACGTGAGTTTAGTACCAGAAGAGACCAGAAGAAGGTCTTGAATTCCTGAAGCAGAAGTTACAGACCATTATGAGCTGCCCAAGGTGGGTATTGGGAACCCAGCTCAGGTCCTCTGAAAGATGAGGAAGGACTCTTTTTTTTATGCTTCATGCATGTGCAGCTCTGTTTTTATTGTATATTAGTCAATGGAAATTAATTGCTAATTATCCAAACATTTCTATGATAATATTTCAAGCTATCTTGTAGCAGATGTGTCCTAAACTATATTTAGAAGAGAGTAGATGATATTGTCTTTCTTTTTTTCATTATTATTATTATTATTATTATTACTATTATTAAGAGATTTTCTATTCATTTTACATACCAACCACAGATTCCCCTGTCCTCCCTCCTCCCGCCCCCCCAGCCTTCCCTCCCCAAGCCACCCCCCATTTCCACCTCCTCCATGGCAAGGTCTCCCCTGGGGAGTCAGCAGAGCCTGGTACATTCAGCTGTGGCAGGTCCAAGCTCCTCCTCCCTGCACCAAGGCTGTGCAAAGTGTCTCACCATAGGCACTGGGCTCCAAAAGGCCGGCTCATGCACTAGGGACAGGTCCCGATCCCACTCCCTGGGGACCCCCTAAACAGTTCAAGCTAAACAACAGTCTCACCTATCCAGAGGGCCTAGTCCAGTACCATGGGGGCTCCTCAGCTATTGGTCCACAGTTAATGCGTTTCCACTAGTTTGGCCAGTCATCTCTGTACTTTTTCCCATCATGGTCTCCGTGTCCCTTGTTCATAGAATCTCTCCTCTCTCTCATCAATTGGACTCCTGGAGTTGGGCCTGGTACCCGGCCGTGGATCTCTGCATCTGCTTCCATCGGTCACTGGATGAGGGCTCTATGATGACAGTAAGGGTATTTAGCCATCTATCTGATCACCAGAATAGGCCAGTTCAGGCACCCTCTCGACTATTGCCAGTAGTGTATGGTGGGGTTATCCTTGTGGATTCCTGGGAACTTCTCTAGCACCCAGTTTCTCCTAGTCCCATGATGTCTTCATTTATCAGGGTATCTCTTTCCTTGCTCTCCCACTCTGTCCCTGTTCCACCTTGAACCTCTCGTTCCCCTATGTTTTCATCCCCTATCCCTTGCCCTCCATTACCTCCCCTCAACCCCAGTTTGCTCATGTAGATCTCATCTATTTCTCCTTCACTGGGCGATCCATGTGTCCTGAGGAAGGACTCTTATCAGCTGAGCCATCTCTGGCCCCACATAACTTAATAATCAGGAACAAATAGATAAATCCAAACTGAAGGGCAGTCTTTATAAAAAAACTATAAACCATTTAGATCTGGACATTTGAGAAATGTCAGTGCCACAAAGAGAGAGAGAGTAGGACGCTGCTAGAAATTCAGTGTGTAGATGCAAGCAGTATTCTTGTTAGTGCTCAGACCACAGCTCCTTTGTGTTGTACTCAATAACCTATCCTTTAAAAACCAAAAAAAACTCGGGAGGCAGAGCCAGGCGGATCTCTGTGAGTTCGAGGCCAGCCTGGTCTCCAAAGCGAGTTCCAGGAAAGGCGCAAAGCTACACAGAGAAACCCTGTCTCGAAAAACCAAAAAAAAAAAAAAAAAGTAAAAAAAAAAAAAAAAAAAAAACCAAAAAAAAAAAAAGTAAAACTATTTAAATTCAGTATGTTAGTTTTCTTCAGATCCTAGATGGAAAAAAATAAAGGGCATTATTGTAATAATTGCTGAAGGTTGAAAATGAAGCATATGTTAGATAAGAGTATCATGTCATTGCTAAATTTATTTTAAAAGATATAATGAAATATTTAGAAGTATAATATAATCAGTATGTACAGCACATTCTCATATTTTTTGACAAAAAATAGTATGATTTTATGTACAGGTAAAATATCCTTATTGCATATAATATATGAGAGAGAATAAGTATAAAGTGAGACAAAGCAAGTAAGGAAAGCAAATGAGGCAGTTATCAAGTCTAGGAAGAAAAAAACATAAGAAAATATATATAAAATCCCAGTATCTATGATTCAACGGGAAATACGTAGGCATAAAGTAAACAACACAAAATACTTGCATAGTCATAACAAAGTGATACAAGAGGTGTTGTTAGAAGAGTGAAGAATGCACCAGAGGAATGAGTTGATAACTAATGCCAGAAATCAATAAATCAAGAAGCAATATAACTGTATATGTATACAGCCATATATGTGTACAAATCCAGTACTTGGGCATTGGCACAGACAAGCTTCACTAATATTACAGAAAGAGTGTATTTGGAAAATTCTGTCAATAGGAATGCCCGTGAAAGTGACAAATTCTTACTGTGTCCCATCTTGTTTAACAGTAACCATCAAGTTACAAATTAATTCTGGATCAGAGTTTGGAATACATACCAAATCAATGAATGCTGTGTTTAATAGGTATTGTTAACAAAAAGAGCTACTGGAAGAAGTAAACTTCATTTTCATGAAGTCTTTATTTCATGAAATTTTATTTCAAAATTCACATGGATTTAACAATATTGTTTTTAAATCCTTTAAATCCCTGTATAAATAACAATGCTTTTGATTTGAACATTTGCTGATTACAGAAAATATCACCTTTTTAGAATTTTAATCTTCCCTTTATGCCTTTCAGAATAAAAAAAAAAAGGTGTTTGTGGTACTGGGAATCTCATAGTTTTTGCTTATTGACTCTGGGTAGTTCAGCAGTGGAGAAGCATTCCTACCTCAGTTTTTCCCACTGGGGCTATGGATGAGGAATTAGGAGAGGTATTTTAATGAATACAGGTCCTTCAAAATCTTTCCTTATAAATTACTGTTTAGTTTTAGGTATTATGCTGGTTAACTGACCTTGCTCCACATGTACATTGTGTTTACTTTTTAGGGGAAGGTAGCTGAACGTGGTACCCACTATGGTCTGCTTGCTAACTCTGGCAGTATCTATTCAGAGATGTGGCACACACAGAGCAGCCGTGTGCAGAACAGTGATAACCTCGGATGGGGTGCAAAGAAAGAAGGCCTCTCCAAAGAAGAAGAAAGGAAGAAACTCCAAGAAGAAATCGTTAACAGTGTGAAAGGCTGTGGCAATTGTTCCTGCTAAGGCACAGAAGACAGTTTCTTGTTTTTCTGTTTGTTGTCTTGTTTGCACTGAAGCAAAACTAGTTCATAAAAATGTAAATCATACATTCCCATTCCTTTAATCCTATTAAATAAGATATATTTAAAGGAGGGTTTGATTTTTATGTCTTTCACCATCTTTTGAATGTGACATCTATAATTATCTCCGAATTATTTTCTTGTTCCTGCCCCAGTTGTACTCAGTGTATAATTTTTGTTACCATTTGATTTTCCCCTATAACTGTTTTTTGAAGTCTGATATCCATTTGTTATAGATAACCAGATGAAGTAGAGTGGTCTGAATTTATGTAGTTTTTAAAACATCCTTTATGCTGACAAGTTATAGGGAGAGTGGTTTTTTCTCTCTTAAAATTAAAACAGGAATGAAATGAGAAGAGTAGGTTTTTTTCTACTCTTTCCTTCCTCCAATTATAGTTCCTTGTCAATCTGAAAATTAATTTGCAAACACATTTAAAGTTGGAGCTTACCAAAATGAACTGTATTTATACTTTGGGCATTGTACTTTTGGACACCTATAATAAGAGTTTTTATTATGTCCTTTTTGGTGGAAAGCTCATATTGGTGTATAGAATATTATTGTTAATCATCACTGCGACTCTTCTCTAGTGATTGGACCAAAATTTCTTAATTTTCTTTAAAGTCTCAGAAACCCTGATGTCATTTGAGAGTTACCATACTGGGAATGATCCCCGAAACTTAGGGTGTTAATAGTTAATGGTCTTTCCTATTTCTGTCTTAAATGCACTGCTTTTCCTATCTGAAGTGATACAAAGAAAGAAGTAAACAGGATGTTGTACATCCACAGATGTCTATGTTGTGTATATGCTAATACATGTATATAAATCAGTGTCCACTTAAAATTATTAAAAACATTTGGTAAATAGGAAAGGATTCTATATGTAGGTATACTCTTTAGATGTCCAGATCTCTTAATCTATATTGACACTTCAAAATTGCTATGTTTATTGTAAGGCTTTTCTTAATTATTCATAATTTAATGAGTTCTGTTAAGTGTGGTGTAAAAAAGAAACTAAGTGATATAGTAAAGTTTTACTTAGAAAAAATAGAAAAACATTTTACCTGTAAGAAATAATTATTAAAATGAAGATACACATTCACTTAAAAAGATGTTCTCTTAAGCTGGGCATAGTAATATGCACCTGGAGTCCCAGCATCAGGAAGTTGAGCCTAGGAATTTGAGGCTAGCCTGGGCAATATAGTGAGACCATTTCTCTTCAAACTGAAAAAGAAAACAAAAGTTCTTCTCTTGTTTCAATATGAATTTAATTTGTTCGATAATACCCTTTCATTTTGAAACACGTGTGTATCTCATGAATGGCCATATAATCATATGTAATGTGGCTTTATTTCTCAGGAAAGGTCCTAAACTGCTTGTTATATTATGGTTTTAATGTGTTTTAAATGATAATTTAGTATAGGAGACATTAATTTTTTTACGTGTCTTATTGGTATTGGTGAATAAATATCTTCTGTTTATATAATAGTGTGCTAATCTGAAGCCAATATTTCAGTTAATTTTTGGTACCAAAGTAATTTTTGCAGAATCTTGCTTTTTAAATTGGAGGTAACATTGCAGTGTCTCATGTACTGAAAACTAGGTTTTTGTTTTGTTGGTATTTCTTGCTCTCAATATGTAGGTATCAGTGCTATTCTCAGGGGAGAAGCAGCACATCCTTTGAATAAATCAGTTACATTACTGCAGCTGTGATTAAAGTTAGATCAAAATTTTGCATCGCTATTACTTCTTACATTTGCAGCAGTGCTGATGGAAATGATGAGACTCAGTTACACAGACAAGCAGAGTGTAATAATCATTGTTAAGAATTCTTCTTGAAGTGTACATAGCAGTGTTCCAAGTAAGTTATTCTGTGATATAGGGAACAGTAAGAACATTTTCAGGGTAGGGATAATAGTCCCACGAAGATTTTGAAACTATTTGTTTTTCATGTGATTGCAGGTGGTCACTAGGCAATAGTGGTCATTAACCTATCTTTCAGCTAACAAAACTTAAATTATCTGAAAGTGACAATTAGTGTCGAGGCAATAACTAAGTCCTAAAGACATCTTTTTTAAGACTATGTCATCTTTAGGTGGTTCTATAGAGGGAAATAATAGACAGATGAAGACGAAAGAGAAGCCCTCTGGAATGATTCAGTCATGGGAAATGCCAAGAAAAGGGCATTTAGTTATAATGCACTAATTTTACATCACAATATTACATAATTATGCAAAAGGATAATGTGTATAAATTTTAAAAGATCAGTGTTGCAGCAATGTTTTTTAATGTTGGGAGGAATAAACTATAGTATTAAAATTTGAGCTCTGAAAATAGAGCATGATAATGGGGGTTCATTTCTTACATCTCTTTATTTTAAGGATTAAAAAATTTATTTTCTTCCTAAGGAAATCCCAGTTTACAAAAATTAACTTGAAGCCAAGGTAATTTGGGATCATAAAAACTGGGCCAGATGCCTTACTGATCGTTCTTAACATAGAACTGTCTTGTTGTGTAGATGGGCTCATTTGGAAATTTTTAACAGTCAAGCCAGGGTCACTAGTGATAATCAAGGAGACAGACCTTCACGTCTGTACATGAACAGTCTCATGCATACCTCTGCAGGGATTTGCATCTTTTATACACCTTAGGATGAATACTCTGACTTGCCCTTCTGTTGACAGATAAACTGAGGTTTATGAGGATGGCTTTTTTCAAAACTTGTTTTGCTCTAAAGGCCAGGTATTTAAAAGCTATATGATTCTTTGTTTCTAGATCATTTTTTCCATACTGCCATCTTGTTTCTATCCTTCCTACTTGCTGAATATATCACCAAGTAGCAATCTTTTCCATATATATTCCTAATTCCCTCATCTTGTAACTTGATTACAGGATATTCTGTTGTGAATTAGCAGTTAAGAGTGTTTAAATATGTTTGTAATTACAGTTTGTTTTTAATTATAGAAAAATTCCTTCTTTTCCCTTCTCTGAGTGTATTGATTTGGAATGTAAACTGTATGTTAAATCACAACATTGAGTGAGACATTCTGGATAAAGCTGATTAAGACAAAACATCTTAGCCAAGGATTTATCTTACCACAATTCTCATGTTTATAACAACCTGTGCAGATAATCATTACTGAATAAACATGCTGTCTTTATGCCTAGAAATGAGTGTCTAATGGAAATAACTTTTCTGCAATGCACTGGGAAACTGACATTTTGTCCGTTATACACTTGGAATAAATACAGGTAATTACTAAGCACTCTGGGAATATGGCCTTGCAGCTTTAGACAGCAGGTAAAAACTTGGCATTTTTTTCAGTAGGAAAGTAAATGTTTGCAGAGTTCATAATGTAGGTAAAATGGTGGCAAATTATAGTGGTTTTATTTAGCATTAAGCTGTCATATTTTTGATAGCCAACCGGTGAGAAGTCCCTAGTTTCTTACTTGTCCCCAGTTTCTCAATTGTAATGATTAGGAGGGAAACCTTGGGGTGGAGAAATGTCTTGCCTGCATTTTGATTAGCTAGGTAGAATTGGAAATGAAATGTATGTTCTAATTAAAAACAGATTGGAACTTTTTGAAAAAATACAGATTGTTTCCATATTTCATGTTCTCATATAGCTACAGTAAAATGTTCACTGGTGTTTTTCTGTTTCTGGTTCATAAAAACATAGGGTTTTAAAGTTGGAAGGGGTTTAAAGGTCACTTAATACATTTTTTCTCATTCTATAAATGAGGAAGCTGAACTTCAAGAGAAACCACTCCACTAGAGGCTAAGCGGAGATGAAAACCCCAGTTTCTTATAGTCAGTTCTTGTGTTATACCACATTTCCACTCAGAAATGACATTTGAAAATAAACTGAAGGGTCATAATTGAGAGTGGAGAATTAAGAACCTCCACAGGCCCACTCCCCAACAAAGCAACAATTTAACTGCTTCTTTTAAAGTTGTTCTAAGGGCTGGAGAGATTGCTCAGTGGTTAAGAACACATACCTACTCTTACAGAGAACCCAAGTTCAATTCCCAGCACCTACATCAGTTAACTCCAGTTATAGAAATCCAACACCCTCTTCTGGCCTCTGAAGGCATTTATACTCATGTGTACATACCCAGACAGACACACATACATGCACATAATTTAAAAATACAAATAAATCTTTTTTAAAGTTACTTAAAAGAAAAAATAGTCTATTGAAAACTTCTGAAAATGTCCTAGGGGCTTATAGGAAATGGAGAAACATTTAAGACAGTATGATCTTAAGAACAGCAAGAGACTGTGGCCTTTAAGAAATGCTATGTTCCATATGCTCTGTGCTGGAAGCTCTACCCTGGGCATTCTGCTCTGAGCAGGTGTGGTAAAGAAAGACATGTAGTGGGAGTACATGGGACTTCCTCATCCCCAGTTCCCAACTTGAGGCTGCAGTTTTACTGTCATCGAGAGCTGCCAGCAGTTTGTATCTACAGCCTGCCCCCCCCCTCTTATGTGTGCTGTAACCCATTTTCTGCTGCTATAGCAAAATATGAGCAAGTAAGCTATAAAGATTTGAATTTTACTTGGCTGTGGTGCTAATCATATGGTGCCAACATCTGATCAGCATTTGATGAGTGCCCTTTTGCTGTGTCATAGCATGGTAGAAGGTACCATAGGGGGAAACGGAGGAAGCATCCTAGCTCATGTCTCTTACAAAGTCAGTGGTGCCATCATGGACACCCCACCATCATGATCTCATTTTACCTCCCAAATACCACCACCAATACCATTAACATGAACCTTTCTCAATACAGGAAAGTTGGGGGTGTACATTTAAACCACGGTTGAGTAGAAGCTCTTTTCCATATGTAAGAACAATGAGATGCTAATTGTTTTCTTCTCCAACTTACTCATGGGGTAGAAATTTCACTCAATATTGGCCTTGCTCCAGTGCAGTTCAGTATTGCAGAATTTCTGGTCAAGGGAAAGTGCAAGGGAATGTGATTAGGGCAAAGAACTCTGTGGCCACCTGTGGGAACTGACTTTATTTGAAAGATGGAGAACTCCTTTAGGAAAGGCATTATCAAAAGCAATGGAGGTCTTGGAGAAGTTCACTTAGGACAGGACCTTCCTAATGCTGCAACCCTTCAATACAGTTTCTCATGTTATGGTGACCCCCTCCCCCCAACCATAAAATTATTTTCGTTGCTACTTCATGACTGTAATTTTGCCACTGTTAGAAGAGTTGTACGGTAAATATCTGATATGCAGGATATGCAACTCCTGTGAAAGGACTGTTTGACCCCCAAAGGGGTTGTGAGCCACAAGTTGAGAACTGCTGGCAGTTAAGAGGAGCTGGCAGAAGCAAAACAGAAGAGCAGCCAGAAAGTTGAACAGAAATGAAGGAGGGAAAGAGCCTTCCTGGGAGCAGTCAGTTTAGGGGTTGGAAAGACTGAGCACATACATTGGGGAAACTACAAATCCTCAAGGAGGAAATTAGTTTCTATAATTGCCAGAGGTGTCAGTCTAAAATACCCAGTTTACAAGAAGAGTATTGTAAGACACAAAAGCCAACAAGAGAATGTGACCCAAGCATGAAGGACATAATAGTAAGTAAGTACTGCCATAGGGCCGTGAGCGAACAGTAGTCATCACATACAAAGAAATCCCAAATTTATGACAAGTAAAATTTGACCAGGCGGCCGGGCGGTGGTGGCGCACGCCTTTAATCCCAGCACTCGGGAGGCAGAGCCAGGTGGATCTCTGTGAGTTCGAGGCCAGCCTGGGCTACCAAGTGAGTCCCAGGAAAGGCGCAAAGCTACACAGAGAAACCCTGTCTCGAAAAACCAAAAAAAAAAAAAAAAAAAAAAAAAAAAAAAAAAAAAAAAAAAAAAATTTGACCAGGCACAGGAAGTCCAGAAGACAGAGTTTTAACATTCAATTGCTGGGGAAAAAAGTTTCAGTCAAGAATATTCTAGCCAGATGTGTCCACTGGCGTAGTAGAGACATGACTTCTATGGAGGTAAACAACTACCTTATAATTAGATTTAAGGCTCATTCCCCAAGAAAGAATTCATACCAGATACTATAAACTTCTACAAAAGCCCATAGCTAGTTGAGATCATAGGCCCTAGGGGAAGCTTACTATTATTGTTTTGCTAAGTGGATATTCTGTCAAACTGCCTTCAAGATATTTGTGGTGTTCTCATCCTTGGTCAGAGAAACTTCTTTTTACAGTGGTCGGTGGTTGATAAGACTCATAACTAGTTCTAATGCTGAGAATAAGTGACTGAGTGCTCATCTTTAAATGGGACATCTAAAAAAAACTCCACCACCCCTACACACACACACACACACACACACACACACACGCACGCACGCACGCACGCACGCATGCAAGGCTTAGAGAACATTGTGGAAAGGGGCTTGGAAAGAATGTGAGCTGGGAGGTGAGGAGTGCTGTGCAATGCTCTTCTAGAAATGACATGGCCATTGCTCTCATAAACTCATAGAAACTGGTTACCTTCACGAGATCAAACCAGTCCAAAATCCCACATAGATGCAGGAGGTGATCCTGAGGCCCTCCCTAATCAGTGAGCTATTGACAATGGCTGCTGGAGAAGGAAGAGTAAGTTTTCTTAGGGCATGAGGCTACTGGTAGGTTGTCCATGCTTGTGTGAATGGCCTATATCTATGTGTATATGGGAAGTGTTAATTGGACTTGGTGGGTTATAAAGAAAAAAGGCATGAAGTGGGGGAGGGGGACATGTTAGTTGGAGGGGTCTGGTGGGGATTGGAGGAAGTAAATGCATTGAATACATTCATGGAATTGTCAAAGAATATAAAGACAAAATATTACTTGTAATTTTACCCAAAACTATCATTTGAAAATGAAGTCCAGACACCTTGCATTAAATATATTGTTAATAGACCTGCAAGAAATACAAATGAACATTTTCAGGTCCAAAATGAGCAGCCCAGGGAGTAATTTAAATCCACAGGAGAAAAACAGCACCAGTAAAGGCAATCTAGTAGGTTCTTAAAGAAGACAATATTGTTTCTTCTTTCTTTTTTTCCTTGACTTATAAAGCAACTATATAAAACAATCTATATCATTCTTTGATTGGAGTGAAAATAAAGCTGTCTTAGAGTAAAGGGTTATTAATGGTATCTCAGATCTGTAGGAAAAAGTGGAGAGAGCCATAAAACTTACAGAGCAAGTTAATATCACAAGCCTATCTATACCTTTCTTGCTGCTTTTTAAAAAAGTACTGATTATATTGTATTGATTTTTGACTACCAATGTGAATGTTTAACAATAATATAAAAATGGGAGTGTGTAAAGGAGCGATATAGGCATGTGTTTTATTTCATTCCGAATACTTAGTGTAATTATGAAGTGCATTCTCTTAAGTTATAGTGTATATTAGAAGTTCGAGAATAAAACTAAAAAAGTAACTATAAGCATTTATTTAAAACACCATTAAAGGGATAAAATACTATACTATCTATGGAAGAGTAGAGAATTTTATAAAAGAGGATTAAAAAAAAAGAAAGCATATAGAAAAAATAAAAATAAAAGTTTAAATGTTTACTCCACAATATCAGTAACTATTAAGTCAACAATCAAATCAAAAGGTAGATATTGCCAATTAGTTTGAAATATCAAGGTCCAACTGTATGTCATCTTTAAGAGATGCTACCTAAATGTGTTAAAGGTAAAAGAATAGGAAAGTGTTCCATGTAAATACCAACCATAAAAGTCAGAGTGGCTATCCTAATATCAGACAGTATATTTTACAACAATAACCAGAAGTAGTGATTTCATAATCTGAACACTGTATCAACTAACTGAACACTACCCCAAGCCAATAGATTCCATCATCTCATGCACATGGAGCATTCTTCTGCATAGGGCATGTGGTAAGACAGAAAATAAACCTCAGTAAATTGAAAATAATTGAAAACATACAAAGAATGTTCTGTGACCACAATAAGAATGAAATTAGAAATCACCATTACAGGGAAACTTGGAGATTTCTGAAATATACTGAAATTAAACAATGTACTTTATAGGCCAAAGAAGAAATGGCGAAAAGGGGTAGACTTTAGAAAATACTCCAAGAGTAATAAAAATGATCAAATGTAGCAAGATTCATAATTCATAAACTTCCATCTTAAGAAACTGTATATT